TTTTTTGTTAGGTTGGGTGTTGTTGCTGACTAGATGGTCAAATGGCTAATTCCGTTTGCCACGTCATCAAAAAACTGACGGAGTTAACGGAATTTGACGGAGATTAACGGTCGGTGACTAACCGTGAAACGAATCGTAAAGTTAGTGGCGAATATGAAAGAAAAGTAATTCGGGTGGCAAACGTGAAAGATTTATGTAATTTGAGTGACCAAATGTGTAATTTAGCCATTTAAATTGAGGAAAACCACTAAACGTTTACAAAAGCATGTGTTTGAATAAACTCTACAAAAGGATATTTAATAATCCTTAAATCACTCTTCCCGTGATGTTCTCAGAGACATACTGCGAGCCTATGAAAGGGAATCAGGCCAAATGATCAACTATTCTAAATCAGACATCTCGTTTAGCAAAAATGTCCGATGTAGCAGACGATTGGAGATTTGTGGCACCTTGGGAATCAAGGAGGTGGACAAACACCCTAAGTACCTGGGTCTTCCCACCATCGTTGGAAGGTCTAAGAAAGTGATCTTTGAGGAATTAAAAGAGAGGGTTCGAAAAAAACTGAAGGACTGGAAGGGCAGAACTCTATCTCAAGCGGGAAAGGAAATCCTGATTAAGGCAATTGCACAGGCCCAACTTATGTACCCTATGAATGTGTTCCTAATCCCTGAGGGTATAATCAAAGAGGTTCAAAGTATGATAGCTTCATTCTGGTGGGGTCAGAAGGGTAAGGAAACAAAAATTCATTGGATCAAATGGGATGAACTCTGTTATGATAAAGAGGAAGGTGGTATGGGTTTCAGGGATCTAAAGGCCTTCAATTACGCGATGCTTGGAAAACAGGTCTGGAGAATTATGGAGAGACCTAACTCGTTGATGGCCAAAATCCTGAAGGCTAGGTATTTTCCTAAGACTGATGTTTTAAATGCCAAAGAGGGGTATAGGCCCAGTTATATTTGGAAGAGCATTGTGACTGCAAAGGATAAAATTGAACAAGGCTTCAGATGGAAGGTGGGGAACGGGGAGTCAATTCGCGTCTGGGAAGATGAGTGGATCCCTGGGAAAAGCTTCTATTTCGCTGATCCCATTCAGGGTATTATGGACAGAGATGAATTTGTGAGTTCCCTAATTGATTTTGAGAGAAGCAGATGGGACCAAGCTAAACTACAGGAGAGGCTGTCAAAAAGTGATTGTGCCCTGGTATCAAAAATCCCCATCCAATGTCCCCCCCAGGAAGATAAAAGGGTTTGGAAAGATGCTGAAGATGGGAAATACTCGGTTCGAACAGCCTATTTCAGGATTCGGGAACAACGACGGGAACTTCAGACCCAACATTATATGCCATCAGAAGAGGATGTGGAATTCTGGAAGCTACTGTGGAAAACGGATGTCCCTCCTAAAGTTCGTATCTTTCTTTGGAAAATTGGAAGAGATATATTACCTGTGGGTTGCAACGTCGCAGAATGGATTGAGGAAGCGTACTCGGGCTGCCCTTTCTGCGATCTGCCAGAAAACCAGATGCATGCTCTTCGCGATTGCAGCTGGATAAGAAACAGGTGGAGCCAATGGGAAGGTAAAGATTTGTTCGAGATCGGAGAAGGGAAAACTTGCTTTGAGTGGCTTAAAGAGGTATGGAAGGGTTTTGACAAGGAAAAAATACAACGATTCAGTGTTGTGCTGTGGTACCTTTGGAAGGAGAGATGCAATCACCTGAACAACAATCCGAAGCTTGATGAGAACGAGATCATTCCCAGGGCCTTGACTTGGCTTAACTCCTTTTTAGAGGCTCGTGGCCCCATGGATCAACAACCTCAACGCGAAGAAAATGCTGCTGATGCAAGGAGATGGACTCCGCCTCCTGAAGGGGTGTTCAAGCTAAACACCGACGCGGGCATTCTGAATCAATCGGGAATCGGGATGGGATGCGTTCTTCGGGACTGGAGGGGGGATTTTAAGGGGGCGACTGGGATGAAGGAAAAGGGGGTTTGCAGACCCATAGAAGCGGAGGCGAAAGCGATGATATTGGGGCTGAAGGAAGCAAATCGGAAAGGGTTGAGCCCTCTGGTTGTGGAATCAGACTGCCAGATGCTGATTCGAAAGCTAATGAAGAAAGAGGAGGATAGAACTGAAGTGGGTAGCTGGTGTGGTGAGATTTGGAAATTGGCTGAAGTAAATGCAAACATATCTGGGGTTCAAGTCGAATGGAAGTTTACGCCTCGAAGAAACAATGGAGCTGCCCACTGGTTGGCTCACTCTCTGCGAATTTGGGATCATCAGTTTGTTTGGGTGGATAACCCTCCTTTGTCTCTGCTCTATGCCTTGGAGACTGATTTGGGCCGGGCTCCTTTGAACCCAATGTAACCTCTTTCTTCTAATATGAATACAGGTTCCAATAAAAAAAAAAAAAAAAACTATAGAACATTGTTAAAAAAAAAAAACTATAGAACATTAGTGCAGGGCAATGACACCTCATCCACTATATTTCTTGTTGCAATGTCTTGTATAAAGGAATCTTTAAGTTGTTAGCAAACGAGATGGCTAGGGTCTTACCTAAATTGATTAGCAAGTCACAATTTGTTTTTGTTAATGGGAGAGCTATTAGTGATAATATTAATATCTTATTAGATTCTGAGTTAGTGAGGGATTACCATAAAAAAGTAATTACTCCTAGATGTGCTGTCGAGATTGATCTCATGAAGGCGTTTGATTCAGTGAATTGGGGGGTTTTATTCAACGTTATGACTGCTATGAATTTCCCTGATGGTCATGTGAAATTGGTAAAATCTTGTATCACTACTCCTTTGATTATAGTGGCTGTGAATGACGGGTTATGTGGTAGGATCTCAGCTAGAAAAGGGCTCGGACAAGGGGATCCCTTGTCCCCTTACTTTTTTGTTATTGCTATGGAGTTTCTGGATTGCATGGTGAATTCCATCCAAGGTGCAAACCACTTCAAATAACTCACCTCTGTTTTGCTGATGATCAGAGATGATGTTTACTAATGGATCTATACGAGGAGTTGTTGGAATTAGAAATTGATGGACAAATTCTACTCTATTTCTGGGTTACGGTGCAATCCTGCGAAATGCCGACTTTTTTGTGCAGGGATCCCTCAAGAGGAAAAAGAAAGAATCTCGTCATACTCTGAATTTCCACTTGGCTCTTTGCCTGTGAAGTATTTGGGAGTACCTATGTTAACGGGAAAACTGTCTCGTAAAGACTATCAAGTCTTAATTGATCGTATTACTCAGAAATTGAGGAGCTGGAGAACCAAAACCCTTAGCTATGTTGGGAAAAATCAGCTCGTCTCTTCAGTAATCTCTAGTATGCTACAATATTGGCTTAACTTGTTTTTATTGCCTAAATATGTGATCAAAGAGGTGGAGAAGCTCTGTAATGCATTTCTCTAGAATTCTGGGGAGGATGGTTCAAGGAAGAAAGCTGTAAATTGTAATGGCTTGGGATTTGCTGGCAAAACCGAAGTAGGAAGGTGGGCTGGGTATAAAGAAGTTTGATGTTTGGAATAAGGCTTGTGTTTTAAGGCACATTTGGGACATCCTGACTAATGGTGGCTCTCTCTGGGTGGCTTGGGTGACTCGTTACTGTTTGAAGCAACAGAGCATTTGGAATGTTACTCCTAGTTCTGTAGGGATGTGGATATGGAAGAGAATCCTAAAATGTAGAAGTTTAGCTACACAATTTATTTCTGGAGTGATGCCTGATGTTTTGTGGCAGGGTGAACGGATGGAGAGATTCCCGGTTACTAGAGTTTGGCAATCTATAAGACAGCATAACCCTGTGTTGGCTTGGACTAAGTTGATTTGGGTTATACCACGACATGGTTTTATTGTTTGGCTTGCTATGCATGATCGATTGACAACTCAGGACAAGCTTCTCCGTTGGGAAAAAACTGTTTCTGGTCTATGCTTATTATGTCCAGGCGGGTTGGAAAGTAAAGATCACCTGCTGATGAAGTGATCATATGTTGTTTATGTGTTGCAGCAGTGATTAAGGCTATGTGCTCCACCTCCATTTTTGCAATGGGATCAATTGGTTGACTGGTGTGTTAAGCAATTTCGGGGGGGGGGGGGGGGGGGGGGGGGGTCTGCTAAAGCTAAAAGTGTGTATCCTTACATGGTGTACTATGCTTAGCTGGATTTGGCGTGAGTGGTGCTCGCGTATGTATGGAGTTCGACATGCTCGTTCTCCTTTGGAGATTTGTAGTGGTGTGCGTGATGAGATTACATGTAGGGTGACTGGGGATCCTGAAATGCAGAAAATGCTTGACTCCTAGACTTAGCTGATAGATAGATTTTTCTTTCTTTCTGCTCGTTATTGTTGTTTATTAGCTCTTGTATATGGTGGTTTGAGAGGCATCAGTCGTTTTGTTACTGATAGGCCTGTGCTTAGTGAAATTTTAGATTCCCATCTAAAAAATATTGAACCAAATTCTACGCTATTAGTAAAGATCTAAAATAATATAATGCCAAAAACCACTAATAATATCAGTTGATGCATGTCCAACTGTACGTCTCAAACGCCAATTCAAAACAACATGTTGTTGTTTGCTACACAAGTGGGACATGAGGCGATCAATATGTCGAAGTTATGAGTTAAAATTATCAATCTCTGCATTTAAAGAGTATTCATCTTAAATAAAAAAAAGCTAAAAAAAACAACAAAAGTGAGTGGATTACTGTACTAAATATTGGACTAAGGAGTACTTTGATTAAGACGGTCCCTTTCAGTGGCAATTTGGTGCTTGGACGATGCTTTCGGTAGCTTGAAAATGGCTCTCATCAAGGCATAAACTATGGGGAAGAATAAACAATGTTCATTTTCATTCTGAAAACATACCTACTAACTCGATTTATTTCAACGGTTTTATCTGTTTTTATTAGTATAATCTTTGTCAATAACTTAACATTAATAATGATAACACAAGGTACAACAAATCTGATGGATGATTCATAAGTACTCTTTAATGCCAGATGAAACCCTGAAATTAAACCCTTGTTTTGCAATACTGCTACAGGGTAGTAAGATAACATTATTAATTTGTATCTCTCATTTCTTCCTGAACTTATTATTAGTGACTGTGATTTCAAATTAAAGCCATAAGTAATGTCCAAAATGGGAAGTCATCATCATCTTACAATGGAAGAAATTAGTCAAATTACAACAATCACAATTAAGCAACTTCGTGGTGCCCCTTTCTCTTGGAGGAGAAGAAGAAGCCTCCAATCAAAGGTATCAACGGCTTCTTCTTCTTCCTCCTCAGCGAAGGATGTCTCTCCAGCGTCTGGTGATGGTGGTCGATCGTTGGAGGAGCCATGACCTGAGCTAGAGATGGCGGATTAGCAAACGTCACGAACCTTTTCTTCTGGAACTCCATTACCTCAGGATGACGACTTAATTCACTAGCGTTATTGTTCCAGGATGACGATGACGACCTTGTTGGTTCCACGACTCTCACGTCCTGGCCGTTGATCTCGGGCTGCGGAATCGGAGCCGTCGATTGCTTCTTCATCTTGACTACTTCCCTCTGTTTCAGCTGCCGGAGCTCTTGCTTCGTTTTCTCGAGCTCTTGTCGGAGGAGGGAGATGGAGTTTGCCATGAGGGTGCTTTCCTCTTTGGCTTTCTCCAGGCTCTGCTTCGTTTCTTCCAGCTCCGATGGTCCCGTCTGCATCTTAAAGGTGACCGATACGAATTCAGGGCAGATAAAGTGGCGCCGTTTGATGAAAACAGAGAGACAGAGAAATCAGTATATGCTTTGCTTCCCAAAGTACAATTGTAAGAGTTGGTAATGAAAAAAAGTAAGATGATTCTTTTGATTCCTAATTAATTAATTAAGAGATTCATTGATTATGGTTGAGTGATCGACTTGCGCGATGAAATTATTCCACGGGGCATTGAAATAGACAGGATACAATAAATGTCACTAAACTAGCGCGCGCTGAGACAGTTGAACAATTTTCTTTCACATTCTCTATATCAGATCGACACAATAATACGAGAATGTACGAATAGATACATTCATTTATTTCTTCCATTGTGTGAGTGAGAGCTCACTTATGATACAACTGTTTAACATTATAAATATGATCAAATCGACATTTTTCAATTTGACACCTGACCTACTCAATGATTCACCGTTAAATCAACATATATTTCAAACCAAATCCATGCATTGTTCATTGGCGATATTAAACATGGACTAATTAATTTCCTTATGCAATCAGGAAACGTGAGAGCGCAAAATGAAGCTAAGGAAAATAATGGGTTAGCTCGTTGGCGGTACCTGTTTAATCTTGTCGGAGTACATGAGCTCTCCGGCCAGAACTTTCTCGCCGAACAACGTGACGGCCTCTTTTACCGACCGGAACGGCTGCCGGGTATCCACCTCTGCGCGCTTCATCATCCCCGCCGCTGCTCCGCCGTCGCTTCCCATCACTTTCAGAAAAGGAGCAGAGAACTTTGTGGCGGGAGGGAGTTCTTACTTCTTATAAAGAAAGTTGGGAGACTGAAAACGACGTTCTTGTGGGTTGGGAAGTCGCAGTTCTTGTGATAAGGAAAATATGCAAAATGGAGATGTGGAAAAAAGCTTCTTTGCTTCGCGTCCACTTCACTGGAATGTGGAATCCCCTGCCTTTGTTCTCTACTCTCTGTTGTGTGTGAAACAAGTGCCTTCTTTTTTTCTTCTGTTCCTTATCCGGTTTCTGATTTCCTCTTTTATTTTACGATTGATTATGGTTCAAGATAGAGAAACGGAAACCATTAGCAATCAATTTTATTCAATTATTAGCCCCTCAATCATCAAATTGTTTCATTTCAATGATGTTAGGCGGAAAATTCGAACCTATGATGTGGTTGAGGGAAATCATTTTTGATTTACATGACATTTAGTTCATATAAATAAAAATTACTGTCTTGATAGAGAAACACTACAATATATTGATTGACATTATCAATATGTACTCCATTAATTTCAAATGAAACAAAATTTCGAAAAATGAACTCTTTTAATAAACTATCGTGAATGTTGATAATGAAGAACAACCAATACACATACAACAATAAAAACGAGAAAATTTGAGTTCAAATTCTCATAACTTCCGACTTGTCCGTATCATCTCTCGTCCGCTTGATGCATTGCTTCAGGTTGATACTTTCTTGAATATTACTTCTCTACATGTATGTCAACGCACCTAATAATCTAGGGAGGACAAGAACATCTTCAAAGGTTAAATTCGATTGGGGAAAAAAAAGTCTAGTTAAAGGTTGAGTATTATTATGTTGTTGCTACTTGTTAGGTTGTGTATTGTTACATGTTGTGTTGGTTGTGCCAGATTTCTGACGAGACTGCATATTTCTTGATACAAATGGTGTAGAAAATTAGAGAGTGACCTTTCACCAATTTCCAACGAAACCCACATCTGCCGGCACCCTGGCTACCAGCCTAAGCTTTCTCTAATGGTGCTTCCCTTAGATGGGCAGATTCAATAAGTTGCACCCCCCAGTTTTTGGCACTTCTTAGTGCACTCCCAATTCTTCTAATTCACTGTTTCCGTTTCTACATTTTGCTTATAGAAACCCTCGTGATGGAAGTTTCAAACTATTAGGGGAAATGGATAGAATTATCTCAATTCCAATTAGTGATATGGCTGAATGATATAATTGATTCATCTAAATGGAAATAAATTTATTAATTCGGGTCAATTTACATATAACGTTTGGTTAAATTTATCACATATCCCGGAGGGTGTTCCAGATCGTAGTTAGTAAAATGAGGTACGGTAAAGTTATGTATAAAATATGTACGGGTATTTTACTTCGTCTTTAATATAATGTTTATTTAATAGTACATTAATAGTCATAAATATATAAATTAATTATTTTAAAAATATATAAATAAAAGTAACAACTCAATTTATTAAATACGGATTATAAATGTGTTATACGATTTTTTTTACGTGCTTAATACGGGAGCCATCAAATGAACAAAAAAAAATGAAACGGTTTAATAATATATAATACGAATACTAAAGTTTTAAACGGATAAAATATGTACGGATACATATACGTTCATTAAACGAAGTATTTACTATTGGTTTCAACTTTCAACCTAACACCATTCAACTAGAAGAACAATAAACACACTGAAATTCCATTGTACTTCCTCTTCCTCATTGCACAGCTTTGGGCTTCCGTATTAGTGATCTTGTAGTGGGCCATAAGTCATTTGATGGACTCGGACTACCACATCGAGCCCAATGTAATTTCTGGATCCAAATGACCAAATCTTTATTTCATTTATTATTATATAGAATATATAAATAACGGACACCTATATTTTCCGTGAATATTGTAGGGTCACCCTCGGTTAAACCAACTACTTTCCCTTGTCTGTCTCTGCCTCTGCCTCTGCCTCTGCCTCATATGATCATTTCACATTTCCTCTCTCCCTCCACTTTGATCTTACCGCCCAAATTGAACACTCCCAACCCCAACAATGTCGTCAATTCCCACCACCACCACCTCCTCCGCCGGATTCTTCCGCATCCCTCCTCCGCCGCATCGAATGCCCGCTGCCGGAGTTCGTATGATGGCCGGCGCCTTGAGATCCAGTGCCTCCAGCGTGGGGACCATCCTGACAAACCTCCAGCACGAATCCGCCACTCCGCTTCCCGTTCTGCGCCACGTGGCGGACGCCATGACAGAGGACATGCGAGCCGGGCTGGCTGTCGAAGGCGGGAGTGACCTTAAGATGATTCTCAGCTACGTCGACGCCTTGCCCAGCGGGTAAGAAAAAAATTGCAACTTTTTTGCTTACTCTGTTCAAAAGAAGGGGGAAAAAAAGGGATAAAGTTTTCATCTTTGGCCATTTTGAGCGCGATTCTGATCTGGGTTTTGCGTGTTTGTTTCTGGGTTCGGGAAAAATAAGAAATGAGAAGGGATTGTTCTATGCGTTGGACTTGGGCGGGACGAATTTCAGGGTGCTGAGAGTTCAGCTTGGCGGGAAGGAAGAGAGAGTGATTGCTACTGAGTCAGAGCAAGTCTCAATCCCCAAAGAGCTCATGTCTGGAACCTCCGAGGTGAACCTTGCTCTAAAAAGAATCTTTTTTAATGTGCGAATTTTGAATCCTGGTGTCGAAAAAGTTCGTCTTGGTTTGTTAATTTTTGGTTTTTGTGCAGCAACTGTTCGATTTTATTGCAAATGGGCTGGCGACATTTGCGGAGGTGGAAGGTGGGAATTTCAGGTTGCCACATGGGAGGCAGAGGGAGATTGGGTTCACATTCTCCTTCCCAGTAATGCAAACCTCCATTGACTCTGGCATACTCATGAAGTGGACCAAGGGCTTCTCAGTTTCTGGAACGGTTCGTTCTCTTTCAATCACAGTCAAGTTTCAGTGAACTTTAGTTGGTTTGAGTGAGCTTAGATTTCCAATCTTCGTGGGAAATTTACCAGGCTGGACGAGATGTTGTTGCTTGTTTGAATGAGGCAATGGAGAGACAAGCATTGGACATGCGAGTGTCTGCCCTGGTAATGCTGATATGTACTTCTTGGTGATGATCTTTGTTCCGGAAACTAGGATTGTGATTGTGTTATGTGGGATTGGTTGCCCGGAATTAGGTCAACGACACGGTGGGTGCATTGGCCGGAGCAAGGTACTGGGACGACGATGTCATGGTAGCAGTCATTTTGGGTACCGGAACCAATGCTTGTTATGTAGAGAGGACTGATGCAATTCCAAGGCTACATGGTACAATGTCAGCTTCAGGAATGACTGTATGTGCAGCTAACTCTTACCTTATTTCAGCCCCAATCTAGCTGATAAAACCTGTAACGGATTCGATTCATCTTGGTTCAGATTATTAACACCGAATGGGGAGCTTTCTCAAATGGGATTCCATTGACTGTGTTCGATAAAGACATGGATGCTGCTAGTATCAACCCGGGAGAACAGGTGAGAAAGAAAACTTCATGGCATTTTGACTTGTCCCTTGTGTAATGTGACTTCTGCAATGCAGGTAACATGCCGTAAATGTTGATGTTCATTGTGCAATGGTGACAGATATTTGAGAAGACGATCTCTGGGATGTATCTAGGTGAAATCGCTCGAAGAGTGCTGTTGAAGATGGCAGAAGAAGGGGATTTGTTTGGCAGACGTTTCCCAGAGAAACTAACCACCCCTTTTAGCCTCAGGTAATGAACATTTTCTTCCCTCCATTTGGGTGTTTGTGTACCAGAAAGGCGGAACCTTTTCCAAACAAAACACTAATGCTCGTCATGAACTATGTAACTACTGCTATTACAGAACTCCAGACTTGTGTGCAATGCAGCAAGACGACTCTGATGATCTCCAAGCTGTTGGTTCTATTCTCTACAATGCAACCCAGGTAACTTGAAAAATAGTTCTCAACTTCAAGCCCTTCAAAAGTCACTAATCACCTCGAAAAAGCAACTCACCTGATGCCTACATTTTATCATTTCTCTCTACAAGGTGGAGTCCAACCTGAGCTCCAGAAAAGTGGCATTGGAGGTCTGCGACGCGATTGTGAAACGAGGAGGGAGGCTAGCAGGAGCCGGGATCGTGGGGATTCTGCAGAAGATGGACCAGGATTCAAAGGGCTCGATCTACGGTAAGCGAACTGTCGTGGCAATGGATGGTGGCCTCTACGAGCATTACCCTCAGTATAGAGGGTATATGCAAAGGGCTGTTGAAGAGCTTTTGGGGTCAGAAATTTCGAGAAACATTGTGATTGAGCACTCTAAAGACGGGTCTGGGATTGGAGCTGCTCTCTTGGCTGCTACCAACTCCAAGTACGAGCATTAGAATGTTTTAAAAGGGCTTCTTCCCATATTCCTTTTGGCCATTTTTTTCCTTATTGGTTTTGGATTGAGAGTTTTGTGAATAAGTTGGCCACTATTAGGGGTGTGATCAAGTGAATTTGGTTTGTTGGGCCATAATTTTGGGCACCATCTTATCTTCAAATAAAAAAGAGGTCATCTGCTACGTCACAGGAAGACAAACTTGGCTTCCCCTGAGTTCAAACCACTAGGAAAGTCCTTATAAAAGAGCAAACTTGAAACTGCACAAATCACAAAACACAATTCAATTCAATTCAATTGCAACCCTTCTTTTTCTGAGTATGAGTGAAGAAGAGGTGAAGCTACTGGGGGTTTTGACCAGCCCTTACAAATTCAGAGTGGAGGTAGCCCTTAAACTGAAGGGCATACCCTACCAATACATAGAGGAAGACCTCTCCAACAAATCCCCTCTCCTTCTTCAATCCAACCCAATCCACAAGAAAATCCCAGTCCTCATACACAACGGCAAACCCATTTCAGAATCCCTCGTCATTCTCGAGTACATCGAGGATACATGGAAGAAGAACAACAACAACAACAACCCACTCCTCCCCATAGATCCCCTCGCTCGATCCACCGCTCGATTCTGGATCAAGTTCATCGAAGAAACGGTAAAGCCATGAGAGTTTGCACTTTATATGCTTGAATTGAGTTTGTACGTCCGCTCCCAAACTAATTGACCGTTGATTCGTGCAGATCTTGCAGACAGCGGCGAAGAGCGTGAAAACTAAAGACAGGGGCGAGATCGAGAGGATAATCGGGCAAGTGGGTGAGCAGGTGAAGTTGCTGGAGAAGGAGCTGGTTGGGAGTGGGGAGGAATACTTTGGAGGGGAGAGAATCGGGTTGCTTGACATTGTTGCGTTTGCTATGGCTTACTGGTTTGATGTGATTCAAGAAGCAATGGCGGTGGAGGAATCTCTGAAACTGATGACTGTGGATGAGAAAAGTTATGGCTATGGATGTTGTTGTGGATTCTCTTCCTCCCAGAGACAAGCATATTGCTTATGTCCGAGCTCGACGCATGATTTCAACGTGAAAGATCGCTTTTTTTCTTCTTCTTCTTCTTCTTCCTTCTTTTTCACGCATGATAGTGTTATTTACCATATATATTTTTCAAGCTAAATAAAAGATGAGGAAACTTATGAGAAAATTAGGTGGTTTTATCCATAAATATTGTGGTTTTTTTATAATTCCATTTACTTAATTATTCTTGTGTATTGCATTTTCAACTCATATGATCAATATGCATTATGATCAATATGCATTGATGTGACTCCAATAAATGATGAATAAATGTGATATTCAAAATTACATTCATTCTCATATTTCAGGGAAAAAAGTTCATTACTAATTATATCATCTTCTACCACCCTCTACTATAGTGGTGACAGACTCACAGACAAGGTTGTTAACCCGCGGGTTGACCCACGGGTCGACCCAATTTGACCCTGACCCAGTGAGAAAAACGGGTCGCACGCACCCGCCGGGCCGACCGCTATTAGGTACCGGGTTGGAGGTCAAATTGTGTCATTTTTTTTCTTTAGTTTGCGAAATGTGTCTATTTTCCAATTTTTCTTTTCGCCTAACTCAATCTTTGGAATACTAAGTTGAACATTTGAATATTTATGTTATATAAGTGTGTGTGAATTTTCACAATATGTTGGATCTAAGTACGATATATTATTTTGGTGTAATATTATATGTTATAACTCATATGCTGGATAAGATTTTATATAATTTATGAGGATAAGTGCAATTAGGGGTGGGCAACGGGAAACGGGTATTTGGGTATACCCGTACCCGTCCCGTTTTTAAGGGTTATGGGTACCCGTATTACCCGTAATATTTTAAATGGATGGGACTTGGAATTGTACAGTCCCAATATGGGTACCCGCGGGTTACCCGTTAATACCCGTTTGGGTAATATGGGTACCCGTTGTACCCATTCAAAGACAAAGACAGATTTAAATAATATTCAGCCCAGGGCCCCAGGCCCAGCCCAATTCAAGAATAATTTTCGGCCCTTACCCAATACCCACTGCACTGAGACCGTGAGACGGACAGACGGTGAGACTTGAGACTGAGAGTCGACGCACGCAGGCCGCAGCCCTAGCACTAGCAGCTTCTGCCTTCTGGACGCGCAGGCGCAGCAGCTTCTCTTCTCTGGAGGCTGGAGCTTCTCGGGAGTGAGACCGTGAGAGTCGAGAGAGAAGAGACTCTCAACCTGTCGCCGGCGCCTCCTTGCTCCTTCATTTAAACTTTGGGTATTTTATGGGTAGTATGGGTACCCGTTATCCGTCCCGCACGGGTAATGGGTACCCGTTTCCCATATGAGTTTGGGATATGGGATGGACTTTGGTCTCCAAATGGGACTGGGTACCCGTTTAAAACGGGACGGGTATCCCGTCCCGTCCCGTTGCCCACCCCTAAGTGCAATATAATGACTCTTTCTATGTTTCCGGGCCAAACCGGACTAAAATGGTTGACCCATTAACCCTTGACCCACTAGCTCGACCGGGTCCTGGTCAACCCGCGGGTTGACAACCTTGCTCACAGACAATGCTAGACCATGTTAGTGTCAAGAACCAGTTGATCCCAATAACTCGAGTTGTTGGGAAAGATTCAATCTTGGATCATATATCATTCACTAACACACCCCCTCAAACGAAAGCCAGTCACCTCATAAGGGCTTTCATTTGCACAGGTATGAATATATGATATCATGTGCTTCACAAACGGGGGTCATTGTGATTCGAACACAAGACCTTTCGGTCACATAAGACTCTGATACCATGTCAAGAACCAGTTGGTCCCAATAACTCGAGTTATTGGGATCAACTGGTTCTTGACATGGTATCAGAGCCTTCTGTGACCGAGAGGTCTTGTGTTCGATTCCCAGTGACCGCCATTTGTTAAGCTTTGACGAAAGGCGAGGCCCAAAACAAGCAACAACTAACCAGTCGGTTTGCGGCTTGCAAGATCTCAAAAAGTTTGCGGCCTCCATTTTTTGAATCCGAATAACTTTTTGAGATCTTGCAAGTCTCAAACAGTCGGGTTCCGTCTTCGTCTCGAAAAAAACGTCATTTGCCACCCCGAACGACTTTTTTTTTATTTCGTCAAACTTTGGGCGGCCATAACTTTGTGCTCCAAAATCCGAATGTCATGAATTTTTTTTTATTCCGCATAACTTTTCAAGATCTACAACTTTCAATATAATCATAATTTCAAAATGTACATGGATTTCTGAAAAGTAAAGGTAAAGTTATTCTCAAGGTCCCGTATATCCACAAATAGTTCCTGTTTTGAAAATTTCATCCTAGTAAAAGTTGTAGATCTTGAAAAGTTATGCGAAATGAAAAAAAAAATCGCTACGATCGGATACCCGAGTGCAAAGTTACGTTCGTTTGAAGTTTCGACCGAACTTTTGGACCAAACCGCTGGTTGGGGTGGCGGTTTTGGGCCAAACCGCCACCCACCCAGCGGTTTTGGTCCAAATTTTTTTTTTTTTATAACCGCCCCCTAGGCCCGCGGTTTGGTCCAAAACCGCGCCCCCGACAAGCGGTTTTCGACCAAACCGCTGGGGGTGGCGGTTTTTGAAAAAGGGTGGTATTTTTGGAATTTTTTGGGATTGGGTGGTCTTTTTGAATTTTTTTTTTTAAACAGTGGTACTTTTGAATTTTTTCCTTCAATTGGACGGTTAAACAAAAAAGTCAAAATGAGCTTGACTAGTCAAAATTTGGTTAAACCATTTAAAATTGGGTGGTTCACCTAGTCAAAACAGAGTTTGAATATGAGGATTGATAATTTTGTAATATATATTTATTTTGAAGAATATGTCAAATGAAGTTTTTTCACATATTATATTAAAACTGACTTAAATTTGTAAAATATAAACCGACCCTTAAATCTCAAATCAATTATCAAACCAACTTGGTCGATTAATCTAGTTTGACAACCTTTGCTGAAAATAATTGGTCTAGGGTCTGTCTTTTAATTGACCGTCAGTAACCGGATCCGCTCCCCTTCTTCCTTTCTCGCGGAAAATTCAACCCGATCTGCTCCTGGACAAATTTGACGATTCAGAAAGAAAAAAAGAGTAAAGGAAAGCCAGAAGAAGACGAAGGCAGAGTTGTTCCTTACTTCCGCCATCTGAAACACCGGCCTCCATAGTAGAACTCGGCAGCGATACGTAGCTTTGTTTGAAAAAATGGTACCTCCTCAATTAATCACTCCGTGCTCGTTCAATGGTAACACACGGGCCGTCGTTTGTTTTCTCTGATTGATTTCTGAGCTGGGCATTGTTTGTTTTGCTGTAATGTTGATTGGCAGATCCGGTTCATACTTCTACAGAACAGGCAGGGGAAGACTCGTCTCGCCAAGTACTACGTACCTCTCGAGGATTCGGAGAAGCACAAAGTCGAGTACGAGGTGAGTTCGCGAAACATCGCCATTTCATTCCGGGTTTTTTTCTCTCCATCTTCTTAGCTTCATTGGTAGGGGCAGATTTGGATGATACCTTTGGTTCGAACTTCCAATTGCTGATGTATTATTGTTCTTTTCCTGGTAGGTTCATCGGCTGGTGGTCAATCGAGATCCCAAGTTCACGAATTTCGTCGAGGTTGGTGATTGCTCTTCTCTCCCCATTTAGGATCTCTTCGATAAATGGAACGGCTTGATGTTTAGTCATTGTAATAGGATATAGATGTGGTGGAAATTCTGCTGCAACTTAGGAAGAACTGTTGTTGGAGCTCTCAGTTGTGTGATTACTTGAGGGATTTTTTTCGGATTTCAGCTGGAACCCTTCTATCTCTAACTGGTTTTCCCCCCCTAAGTTTTGTGATTAAGCTTGTCGCAATGTGTGTTTTGTATTCATTACTACCAATATATTATCTTGCTTCTTAGTCTTGTTATAATCAGAACTACCAGTGTCTTGCTCTAGCTGTTAGTCTTGTTATTTACATGATGGTTATTTTCCCCCATGATGCAGTTCCGGACGCACAAGGTGATCTACCGACGGTACGCTGGATTGTTCTTCTCGCTATGTGTGGATATAACGGATAACGAATTGGCTTATTTGGAATGCATCCATTTGTTCGTCGAGATATTGGATCATTTCTTCAGCAATGTGTGTGAGCTTGACTTAGTCTTTAACTTTCACAAGGTACTGGTACTCCCTTAATTTTTCTTTGATTTGCAAGGTCCTCTAGAGTCCCAGTTATAGAATCAGTGTATATGAATTCACTCTGCCCCGCTCACTTCTCATTTTGATCTTTTTCTTTGCTCTCTTGAAGGTGTACTTGATACTTGATGAATTCATTCTTGCTGGAGAGCTCCAAGAAACAAGCAAGAGGGTATGCATATTTTCTTATGCTCTTACAATTCCTTACATACTCTAGCATGCTGGAATTCATTCCGACACCTCCATACTAATAACTTTTGTGTCATCTCTGATCTTAGTGAGAGTTGTAGATACTAAATACGAGGTTTAAGTGAGAATAATTGGTCAAATTAGGATGCATTATGATATTTACGATGACAATTTGCAGGCTATCATAGAGAGAATGGGAGAGCTGGAGAAGCTGGAGTAAATATGTTGTGTTTCTCTACTGGAGAGTGTTACTGAGTGAAGTTCACCCAATTGTGTTATTTTCCACTTGAATATCCAGTTTCTTCTTCCCATTTGAACATCCGGTTTCCCCCTCACCATATCAAGCATTGTAATCATAGGGAAAATTAATGCTTTACTTCGTTAGGCATTGAATTCTTTCGTATGTTGAATGTCACTTGTGTGTTTCTCTGACCTAAGTGCTTTTATCCTTCCGACTATCCCAAATTTCACTCTTTTCAAAGAATGTCAAAGTTGTGTACAAATATCAGTTGTAAAGACAAAACAGTGATGCGAAATTTTGATTCATGTATATGATTTTGGTTGTGTGAGTTCTCTGCATCCTGGTAAAATGGTTGTACAAGAGAAAGAGATTTCTAGTGAGGTAGAAGCTCCGGCTACAACCATGTAGAATGTTCAAGAAGCTAGGCGCTATTTAGGCGAGGAGGCACCGCCCAACGTCCAGGTCGATTAGTTGTTGTCTAGGCGAGATTAAACGTTGAAAAAAATATATGCTAGATAAGCTATATTCCAAAAAAACCCAAGTCGCCATATCATTATTCATCCATTCATATACACATACAACCCTTTTCCACAATTCTAAACATCCCAAGTCGCCAACCATGAGGAGGGATCTCGGTGCTGGTCGAATAGGGTGAGCGGCTGGTCGAGTGGAAATGGAAAATAGAATAGGATTTGGGATTTCCACAAAAAGGTTACACTTTCCCCCTTTATTAGTTGTTCTGGGCGTCGCCCACCAGAGTGAAAACGCGCCTCCGAGTGCCTAGGCACCGATTAGGCGTTTTCCATGGAGATTAATCGTTTAGCACGCCTAGATCAATCGCCCAGAACTAGACGGGGCGATTTCCTCATCCCAGCTATTAATCGCGCCTAAGCGAGAGATTAACCGCGTCTTCTTGAACACTGATTATTGTACTGAGCTGCCACGAGAAACTGAGATTCCTAAACTTGTGCTTGCTGCTGCTGATGGTGTTGTACGAGTTGCTGAATTGTTAGGTAAATTAGGCTAGGAGAAGCATATAGTGGTCTGCAGATGAAGCTGAGTCTATAGTTCACGCATGGAGGTTGGCCAAGCATCGGCATTTTCCACCCTGCTCTTCTTCTTTCTCTGCATTCTACTGGACCGGCAAAGCTTCTCGTCCTTCCTCCTTCAACGTCCATCTTCTTCTTCGCAACTAATATCATTATACATCGAACACCCCAGGAGGAAAAAGAACGGGTTGGATCCTGTCCTTCAGCCTAAAACTTAAGAAGTTTCTTAAGTTTGTAACCACAATTAACTACTAACAATCTATTAACTACCTAAATTACTATCAACCAATAGAATTGACTTAAGATTCAACACAATTTTACATAATGTGGAATTTTGTAAAATTCACTTTGAGAAGGAGACAAAAAGTAGAGATTTTGAAACCATAAATGTGGGTTTCAAAATAGATAATACAAATTTTGAAGTATCATTTCCTCTTATTGTTTATTCTCAAGTTGTCTTTGTCTTCTTTTTTTTCAAACAAAATATTACACTCATAAATTTAGATTTAGATGATGAATAACCGAAATTTTCATCATCCATCACACAAATTTCTCCAACCACCACCATCTCTAACCTTTTACCAGATTACTTTCGCTACCAAGATACTACTTCTTTTGCGTCGCTGCCTTTGTTACTTCCACTCAAAGCTGTTCGCCAAGCTTCAGTCGCTTGTAATTGTTCGAATATTGACTTCTCGCCGATGGATATCCCCCTCGTTATTGTCCATTGTTCCTATCCCAATGTTGATGTAATCATATTTGATTGACTGGGATTTGTTTGTGATCATGCAACCTAAAAAAACTCATACTTGAGTCTAGTTTTCCCTTGGTCTTCCTTATCCAAAAAGAGTAGAAGGAGTAGATAAGGTTTGTTGGTATGGCTTCTATTATATTTTAGTTTCTATTTGCTTCTTATATTTAGGGAAGAAGGATAAAAGAAACAAAGAAGGAGAATCACAATACTAGAGAGGGAAGAAAAATAGAAAAAGAAGAAATCAGGTTCCAATCCCCCATCTCGTATTCCATAAACACAAGCTACAACTTTGTGGAAGTCAAAGTCCAATCCAAATCGTGATATTTATCCAAATATCTTTGAACTAAAAATACCATTTTCGAAATGAAACTTTTGGCCCAAACCTCTTATCTTAACAATCTCTAATCCAATCGATACCTAAATTTCATTTCTCTATCCAGTTGCCTTCATCTTTTTATCAATTTAGGTTTTAGGGTTTGTTGAAGTGATATTTTGGTTTACTCCAATATCTTAAAAAATGGAAACTTACTCACTTAAATATGTAGGCACTCTCTAATTTTTAAAATTGTAACAAACATGGCCTTACTAGTGTTAACATTGACTTATTATATCATCACCTCATGCATAAGACATTTATTCGAAAGAATTGAATTTTACTCACACTAAACACATCTAGAGTTAAGCTATTGATCACAACTCTCATATTTTATTTTGAGTCACCATTATCTTGTGTTGATGATTTTTTCTACCTTACACATCAAACATTGATAAATTTTTTAGTATTCTTCAATACATTGGATATTTTTGCTATTATTCTATAATTTTTTAATCTAATCAATTGGAATCAATATTTTCAACGAACTCATGTACACTTAAGTTCTTAAAATTTTTCATTTTTTTTTATAAATAAGTTCTTAAATTGAAGACTCTTATCCAATCCAATACACTTTTGTTATAAAAAAAACTCTGATACAACAATTTCAAATTAATCCGATTTTGCGCTGGACCAAACTATGTTATGTTAGGGCCGGCCGTTAAAATCAACTTAACATCTAACGTTTTAATTTCATACCCTAAAAAAACCCAAGTCTGAGACTGAGGCCTGGTATGAAATTAAAATGTTTGAGAAGTGCAAATATGTTAGAAACCTAATTCTAGAATTCTAACAATCGGGTTGATAAGATTGAGAATTAATAGATATTTAGGGATTGAGATAGAATTGGGGAAGAACAGAATTGGAAATTAGAGATTTAGAAGAGAAATTGGGGATCGAGGAGAAGAATGGCCGTCAGCCTAGGGATAGGTGACGAAATTGAGAGAGATTAGGGTTTGAGATACTTTTCTGAATAATTGTTTTTGCTTGATTATGAATAAAACGCAAAGTACATATTTATAACGAAAGATAGGAAAACCTAATACTAAACCTAATTCTGCTAAAAGACTACTAACCATATCTAATAAAACCTAATAATAACAATAATGATAATTATGGTAGAAAACCCATTTTCTTAAGGAAAACGTGTTTCTAACATCCCCTCCCCCTTGAGACCAACCTTGCCCTCAAGGTTGATCAATTCGACCCACTTCTTCCCGTCTACTGTGCAATCCACGTTGTGGCTCCTCCATTTATTGCGTTTTCTTTTCTTCCAATCGTGCTCCACTACTCGGACGAAGCCCACTCCAGTGACCCCGACTCTCCTCCACTTTTCTCGAACCACGTGACACGGGTCACGGTCTCCATAGCCAAACAACTCTTCCCCTTCGTTCGCAAAATCCACGAAATAAGAATTGGAGAGATGTTCTTCTTCATGCTCCATAAACTCCTCCATTGACTTGGATGTGAAAATAATCCAATCTCCTCCTCTATCTTGGACTTGACCCACAGTTGATTGGAAGGAAGAGCTAGAGCCCAAACCAATGTTAGGCCTCATGGTGCTCCTCATCTTCTTCTCAATCACGTGTGGGCTTGGCTCCCTTATAAGCCCACCTGCAAATTCCAAAGAAGAGCCCTTGAAAATCATAGAGCCCATTGTCTTCAAAGCATAGCCCACGTTGGGCTCAATTTTCTGTAGACAGCTCAGATATGGCCTAACTAGCCAGTCGGTATGCGGTCTATACTCAGGCTTTTGCTGGGCCCAAACCACTTCCACTTCTGGCCCGCTTTGCTGCTCCACTCTCAGCCCACTAACCTGGTCCAGCCAAACCCAGTTGAGCCTTGCTAGAGCAGGCCCATGCCTTGGCCCAGTAGGGCAGGCAACAGCCTCCCCTTGGCCCACTCCCCTTCGCTGCTGCTGTAGTTCGTGGAATGGGAGGAGCTTGCGTGAGGAATGGTTGTCGCCACCCTCCTTCTTCGTTCTTCCACCCGACGTCGCCAGAGCAACCTCTGTCGAGCTCTCGCCCGGATCCGCAAGGGAAGATGGCAGGCTTAGCTGAGCCACCCGCGCTGCTCGTGTCTCTGGCAACCTGAACCGACCGCCCATCGCCATCTCTTCCTTCTTCCTCTTTGTTGGCGATACATCGCCCCAGCAACTCGACTCTACCTCTTCCTTCTTATGTTCGTCGTGCTCTTGCTCGTCGTCCGCCGTCACAGGTCGGACTGGTAGCTGCTGCTCCTCTGTCATGTCTCCGTCCGTAGCCTCCTCCTCCATCACCGGTTCCGTGTCACTCCCTCCGACGGTGACTTCCACCGCTTCGTCGGTCTCAGCGGACATTGGTGGTCGCTCGCCGTCGGCGATTCGGGTCACCTTCTCTGCTTGCACGGTCGGCGACTCTTCGGAGCTCCAACGGCGTCCGATGCGGCGAGCCCGGTCACGCAGCTCTGCCCACGACAGGTTCGAGAGCTTTGAAGAGCTAATCGTCGAACCAGTTGTAGAACTCGTCTCCGGTTGAGAGTTGTGGCGAACTCAATTCTCGAACCTGGCTCTGATACCAAATGTTAGAAACCTAATTCTAGGATTCTAACAATCGGGTTGATAAGATTGAGAATTAATAGATATTTAGGGATTGAGATAGAATTGGGGAAGAACAGAATTGGGAATTAGAGATTTAGAAGAGAAATTGGGGATCGAGGAGAAGAATGGCCGTCGGCCTAGGGATAGGTGACGAAATTGAGAGAGATTAGGGTTTGAGATACTTTTCTGAATAATTGTTTTTGCTTGATTATGAATAAAACGCAAAGTACATATTTATAACGAAAGATAGGAAAACCTAATACTAAACCTAATTCTGCTAAAAGACTACTAACCATATCTAATAAAACCTAATAATAACAATAATGATAATTATGGTAGAAAACCCATTTTCTTAAGGAAAACGTGTTTCTAACAAAATAGCACAGAAAGTTTCTGTAGTTACTCGTTAGAGCGCTATGGAGAAAGGGCAGGCTATCATGGAGAGAATAGAGAGCAGTGAATGCAAAATTTTGTTTCATATATATACTTTTTGGCTGTGTGAATTCTCTGCCATCCTTGCAAGACGGCTGTACAAGTACAAGCGGAAGTGAATTCTCTGCTAACGTTTCTTTCACACTGACGATGAATGAAACAATCGTGATCAGGTGAAGCAAACCTCTTTGCTCACATGCGTTCATCGCAGAGTAGTTGCAGGGGCAGTGCTGCTGCTGCTGCTGCTGCTGCTGCACCATTCGTTCTAAACCCGCCCCTTCCCCCACCCTGTTCATAACCAGAAGAAAAGACATTGTCTTGCCTTCTCACTCTGGCATTAAGCTGATGATCGTGTGGTGGGATGATGGCTCGAACATATGATGGCATCGCCATTGCTGCTCGGGCTGGTGTAGGGTCTTGCTTCTTGTTCTGCCAAGTGAAAAGATCAGTCAGTGTTGGTGCTGCAGGGGAAGAAGCTCCGGCTTCCCTGTACTGAGTTGCTGACAGAAGATGAGAATGGTGAGCTTGTGCTTGCTGCTGCTGATGGTGTTGTAGTAGCAGTTGCCTAGTTATTAGATTAGGAGGAGCATACAGTGGCATGCCGAGATACGTCGTTGTTGGGTGAAGTTGAGTCTATAGTTCACACGTTCAAAGACAAAATAAGTAACAAGTAGAACAACTGAAGCTCTGGAGATTGTGTTTTGAAGGAACGAACGAAAACCTGATGTGTTGTGGCTCCATTGAAACTTGTATTGGCTTGCAGAAAGGACATGAAATTGAAGCTCTGTGAAGAGAAAGCATAATGCCATTAGAGGGCAGTCAATATAGAGCTTTTTTCTCAACAGCTAGGAACCAGAAAACTTATAAGATTATCACCTGCTGCTTCTGACAACTGTACGTGCCAAGAGGAAAGAGAGCGGGTTGTGACTGATTGTAGCAAATCATCCTCTGTTGCAGACCGATACCTTCTCTAGCTGATTCGCTTGTACTTGTTGAGGAAACTTCAGTGAAACCCTTTCTCGTGTCATGGAAGTCACTCAGCGTCATAGATAATCCTGGCTTCAACATCTCATGGGATTCGACTCTAGCTGGTGGATGGCTGTCTTTGTCCTCTGAGGTTTGTAAAGTCTGTATGAGACGGCTTATGAAAACGTGAGTCATGCTTCTCCTCCATGGTCTTCTGTCACTGACCTATTGATCAATGAGATGCAAACGTAATTCACAACACCATGGAGATAACAAAGTAAGAGCAGAAAACAAAGCACTTACCTTCGAAGAGGAAGCTGCTAGCCTAGAAGTAGATACCGCTGCATCCAGCCAAGAAGGAAGTTTAGCAGGAGACCATCTGTGGCAGCCAAAGAAGGAAAGTGCATGAGAATGGTTTTAATGAGAAATACGGTAAAATTCTATGCAGTATGACACTTTTTTGTTAGCTTACTGCAGTGAAGGGCTGTGACTAGAAGATGGACCATTTGATGCTGCTGATGACAATCCCGGCCACAGAGCGAGACCTTTCGGAAGAGATAATGCCCATAATCATTACAGATGAATGTATATATCGAGAAGTAGTAGCATTTGAGCAAGTTCGGAAATTAGAGTTTCAAAGCAAGTGAGCTGTACCATTTTTCTTTGGTTCATTGACCGGAAGCTGCTTATCCAGTTGCAGCCCTTGTGCAGTGGTCTAAACACAAATTTTGCGATGAGGAAACTTGAAGTTCAAATTAAGGCAAAGTTGTCATTTAATAACAGAAGAAGAAAAACATGACTGAGCTCACCAGCTCCAAGGAAACCTCTGTCGTTCTGCCAAGTAACCAATGTTCTGGATTGGTTGGCGCCTTCTTGTTTCTGCAATATCGAACAGCATCAGATTATGCAAACACCAAAACACTGAGAAAAAAGGGGCGTAATGAAGAAGAATCCCAGAAAAGTGAAGTCAATAGGCATACACTGTATTAAGAACTGACTCGAGTGGAATGAGAGCACTAATCGAATTGCAGACAAGCTTCTTTTCCTTCTCAGGTTCAGCCACCAGAGTAGTAGTGTCCATGTTTACTTGACCAGCAAGATTCACAATTTTCTCAGCTAGAGTTCTGCCATTGTATATCTCAGGAAGATCCTGGACTCGGGGTATCTTCCAAGAGCTAATGTCAGCTGTTTCCTCCTGAAGTTTGCCCCTCGACCCCAAGATGGAGTTCAAATCCTCTTTTGTTCACCAGCCACCAAATCAGACAAGTAGAAAGCATGTCAGCAATGCAACTTGAATATGACAGCATATTTCGACTAACAGCAAATAGCTACAGAATACTACCTCCAATTGCAGGGTCTGAAACCTCAGTACCATCCTTCAAGGCTGTAGTATTTTCATCTGGAGGATCGTTTTGTAATTTAGACTTGCTGTCGGTAAGGGTATTGTCTGGGAACATTCCAGCCAGAGCATAAAGAGCCTCAGCAACTTCCTCCTCATCTTTAGTAATCGGCCCATTGTCCTGTAAATTGAATTCCTTGACCAGAAGGCAAAAAGAAATCTACTTGCAAAAGAGTAGATGGAGAAAACTATGACTGACCAAGTCAAGTCTCGATCTTTTGAAGCCGTTGCCTTTTCGTGATTCTCCGTCACCACAAGTTGCACGGTTCAGCTTCTGTGAATCAGAAAGAGGTGGAGAGACAGACTCTCTACTTCGTTTCTTCATTGCTGTGAGCAGTCAAAGAAGTGAAGAAAAAGATGAAACCTTTCACGATACAGTATGGTCACTGCTAAAATATGCAAGACTAATATTACAAAACAGGAAAATACGAAAGGTTATCATCAGCCCATTGCGAAAAAGTAGAAAAAGTCTTTGGGATCCTGCAGCATCCACATTCCAACTATACATATACTCAGAAAAAGATAAGAGACATAGAATCTTTGCTTCTATGAAAAGGAAGAAAAAGTTTTGAAAAGCCTTAATCAGTTTTGCTTGAATTCCAATCCATAATTAACGATAGAAACAACTCTCACCTGAACGTAACTTCCTTGGAACAGTGACATGGCCGACGCCATTGCAGCCATCAAGCAACTGCTAAGAAACATCAAAAGCATAAGACTCGCTAAGCAAAACCCACTAACGAAAGTGATTTCCCAGTTGTATAAAGATTCCAAAATGTTAAAGTGATTACTCAACAAATCAAGAAAATTTTACCTTTCTGGGGAGCTTGAATCTCTTGCTATGGATTGAATTGCCACCGGCAGGAGAAGACGAAGAAGAAGGGAACTGTTGTGGCTGCTCATCTCTGTCACATACGTCACCATTATTCCTCTTCCCCATAATCAACGAAGGTGGAGAATCCTCGAAACTCGAGCTGCTGGCTCTGTTAACGGCGCTCAGTCTCCTAATCCTCCCCTTCTTCGATTTCTCTGGCGCCACTGAAACTCCCCCAGCTGCTGCATTCCAAATGAACGAAGAAAGAAGATAGATAATTAGTTCCTAGATGGATATTCTAATTCAAAGCTCGGCCAGCAAAGAACAAAAGTTTTTAAGAAAAAGAAAACAGAGGATGAAACGACAAATTGGAATAAATTCTGGGCTTCCTCTATCTTGTTTTCTTGTACAAATCCTTTTTACAAATTTCCGGGGACCAGAAAGAGGAAATGTATTCACTCACCAGATTGCTGCGGATTCATCTGGCGCGCGAACCGACTCGTTCCGCGTGTCATCTTCATTTTCATAACAAACCAAAACCAGAATCCACCTTCTTCTTCTTAGTGAAAACAGCTTCCATGGCTGAGAATGTTACCACCCAGCAAACCCCCAGATCTTTCCTTCTTTCACTCACCCTTTTGTCCTTTCTTCTTGAAATGAAACGGGAGAAGAAGAGCAGAGTTTAAATAAATGAACACAAGTTAATGAAAGCGCATTTAGCAGCAGAATGCGGCAGGAATCAAGGAAGGAAGAAGGAAGGAAACCAGAACGTCGGTTCAGCGAAGGTAGAGGTTTATAGGAGGAAGGTAATTTAATGGTGGGAGTAATTATGACTCCAGAAGAGAGACGCGAAGAAGTTTTGTGAGGACAAGAACAAACTGCTTGGTCTCTACGAAAAAGAAAAAAATCCAAGTTCAGTGTCCGATCTGCAGTTCTAGAGAGTGAGCGAAACGACGGAAATGAAGAAGAAGAAGAAGAAGAAGAAGAAGAAGAAGAAGAAGAAGATAGAAAAGTGTGATGGCCCTTACTCGTGGGTAAGGAGAATCAGGTTCTCTTCATGAAAAGAAAAGAGAAAGCGAAAGAGATGGAGCAGACGAAAAGGGAAAATGGCCTTGCAGAAGGAAGAAAGACAATCGGCCTCTCGTCTCTTCTCTTCTCAAACAAAAAAGTAAGGAAGGAGAGAGAGAGGAGAAAAGTGAAAAGAGAGAGACGCCTTTCTCTCTCTCTCTCTTACTTTCTCACTCTATCGGTTTCAGCGTCACACTCTCGTGAAACACCTTGCTTGTGGTGGCGAGGATAAAAAGGGAAAGAGCTTCAAGCACAACTCTCATTCAGCTGATTAATGGCGCTCCCTCCTCCCATTGAAATCACCCAATTCAGTTTCCTAATCAATTTCGTTATCAACCTAATAAATTCCCCTTCCCAATCACTTCCCACCTCCCTATTCCGCCATTGCCGAACGAGAAAGAAGAAAATTACAGAGGAAATGGAATGGGACCCTGAAGAAGAAGGAGAAGAAGACGAAGACGAAGCAGCAGAGGCAGAGCGAGGACTGACTTCTCAATTTTTTCAACTGTTGCTCTGACTCTGGCAGAATGGAGTCGCTCTCAAATAGGACTGAAAATCCCAACCTTTTGCTCTGCAGAATTAAACTCTCTCTCTTTCTCTTTCTCTTTCCTGCAGATATATACAGCAGTTTCTATCCTCACGTCATCCGGGGACGAACCCGGCGAGGTCACAATCGACGGTCTCTAATCGCTGCTTTTTCTCAGCCGTTGGATGTGATCTTCTGACGACTGACGTGTCGGCCACGTCGGACGATTGCCCCCCCACCATACGACACCTCTTTTTTGTGTTTTGCTTTAGCCCTTTTCCCTTGCCAGCGTGGACGTTGTGCTCCTGCTACTAGGGCTGGAAGTTTGGTACCGGTATTTGGGATATACCGAATACCGTACCGAATTTGTCTATATTTGGTATTATCGAATACACGAATTATTTTTTGGGATTGGGATTGGGATTGAATTTCATTTGTTATTTGGTATTAGGGATTACGGGATTACGGGATTGGGATCGGTATATACCGAAATACCGATCAATACCGAAATATAAGCTAGTGTGTATTTTATCCTCTCAACTAGACTCTTTCATTCACTACTATACAACCCTCAACCACCAAAAGTGTCATTTAATTATACATAGATCATTCCATCACTATTAATAGTCGTTTTTCAACCTCCAATTCGTTGAATTAAAGATTACCAATGATAAGAACTTGAGATGTCTCCTCTTCTCCATTCACCTTAATAATATTCTAATTCAAAACTCTTTGTTCAGTCTTTTTCTCTAAATTAAACAATAAAATCTAATTTATATATTTAATTATTAATTGTAAAGGTAATTAATTTCGTATTCGATAATACCGATTGGGATACCGAAGTACCGATTGGGATACCTGTATATTTAGGGATTGGGATTGGGATACCGAAATTATTTAGGGATTGGGATTGGGATTGACTTTAGGGTGTAATTTGGTATTCGGGATTTCGGTATTTGGGATTAGGATACCGATACCGTACCGATTTCCACCCCTAGCTGCTACTACCGTATTGCGCTGGTGGGAGAATCGACGTCTCCAGTTCGCTCTCGATGAACATCCTGGAGTCATGTAAGCTGTCGGATTCGTTCTCATTTAAGGCGGGCTGATGATACGATTCTTCATCCAAAAAGTACGGTGTGGGCTCGCTCGCTCGCTCTTGGGCCTGCATGCATCTCATGTGAGAATTGAGGGGTCGTTTGCTTGTTGGATTTGAAAAATGAGGGTTTTGGCTCAAAAACCTTTGGATTTATGAGAGATTTGTACCATCATGGATTTGAAGAATCTATTGTTTGCATGATAGATTTGATGATATAATTATGATGAATTTGCTATAAATATAACTAGCCATCAAGGATTTACAAATCCCACCCCAATATGTGGGATTTACAAGTTCGGGGGGTGATATGATCCAGTTTAGCCGCCTGTTGAAGCTCGAATTAAACGCCAAAGGATCGATCAACGTTGGGAGGAAAAACGGACGAATTTGGCTAAGTGTTTGGATCATCTCATGGTGCCTACTTTACGGGTTCGTTTCTTACATATTGGTGGATGGAATCACGAGAAAATGGAGTATAGTTGAACTTCAAGTGTTCCTTTATACATTTGAATCATGGTCCAAGCAATTTCGATTGATTTGGGTTCGTTTTCAGGAGTTCCAAGTTGCTATGGTAAAACTGGAAGTGTGGCTGTTTTTGGCTAAGTCTGGAACAGGTTTGAGATACCAACTTTGGAGGCTTAGTAAATGCAACTGGGGCATCAACGAAGGAAAGGGGGAGTTGGAACTTGTTCTACAAGTTCAGAAGAGCAAACAACTGAAGCTGGTTTGGATCGAACCTCCCTGGAAGGCCCCGATCGAGAGCTCCGAAGATGCTATGAAGGCTGATTTTGTTACTTGTGCAGGAAGGCAGCAGCTTGGGCAGGAAGTAACTGAAGTTCATTACCTTTTTAAGCTTGGATTCTCTTTCCTTGTTATATTAGAGTTAGAATTCGATTTCCTTGTTTGTTTAGAGTTCAAATTAGGTTGTGTTTGTCTATTTAAAGCTTGAGACTCTCGTGTAAAGAGGTAGTTTTTGATTGAATGAAATAGTTGTGACTTTGTCACCAAATTCTTGGGTGTTGGTTGAGTTCCAGCAGCAAGTTCGCTTCTATCGATTGAAACCGCATCAATCGTGGCCGAGCTTCGACTTAAACCAATCGAGCCTCTTCCCAAGTGTGAAGTTGCACCTTTGGTCCGTTTTATTTTCGTTTTAAGTTGCTTACCGTCAAGATTCGTTGGAAGAGCGTGGAGCTGTGCACTTTGATCCCCTACAAGCACATCCGTGCTCGTATTAGGGGGTCCACGGATTTGGATCCAAAAAAGGGAACAAATCCGTGGACCCCACGGATTTAACACCTAACAACAAACAATGGACTTGGCTAAAATCCATCAAGCTTGAGATTTGAGTCCCAAATCCATCAAGCAAACGAACCCGAGATGCGTGAATTCGTCATTTTCTCTCTTCTCTAAAGTCATTAAGTTGATTGAAATTGTAACACTGCAATAATGACAAGTTTTAAGTGAAATGATGACAAGTGTAACGAATGATAAGATTCATGCTGCCTGTGCCTGGGTTTGCTTTGCTACAGATTAAACCAGACAAGCAGGGCCGGATGGGCTGATTTGATTTGTTGATTAGGGGGGCCGGCTGTAGGTTACCTGTGGACCTGGAATTGGGCCACGAGACTACCCGTTAGTGGGCCTATTTTTCTATCATCTTGCAGGGGCCGCTCTAGTCCTAAGAGCTATGTAGTATGTAGGCAGGTCTAATTGGTTGTTAAAGGGAAGGGAGCATGTATCTCGGACTAGACTGCTGGCTGTATTTACAAAATTAGTGATTTGGTCAAAGATAAATATTTGACAAGGTAAGCATTTTTAAATTTACTGTTTTGTAAAAAGAACTTATAGATGAGCTTTTTTAAATGTGTAATTTGTGTAATATGCTTTATTTCTTGTTTAATATCCTAAAAAGGTCAACCAAATGTAAGATAGTCTAACCGTAAATCTATCACGACAGTGAAGAATTAGAAGTTGCAGATCCTAGTTTCAAATCCAAGCAAGGTCCATTGGTGTTCTCAGAGGTACAAAGCTGCCGGGGGGGGGGGGGGGGGGGGGGGCACGCTATCCAAAGTAAAAGTCATAATAGTCGAAGTTAAAGGCGAAGTCTCGTTGGCGTCAAATTGATTACAGGTGGCCCTAAGATTTAGTAGGCTCCGTTTTCACAACGTGACACGTGGGACTGAGGTCCTGGATAATAAAAAAATTATGTTATATTCAACATGTAACGTATTTTTCTATTAGCCAAAATATAATAATACCTTTTATTTTAAACGCTAATTTATGTTTTTTTATAAATTTTAATGGTTTCAAATATATATAATTTTACAACCAAACATAACCTATATTTAAAACTGATCTCCAAAATAGTAACAAATACTTTTCTACAAATAATTGACAATTATTAATAGAAATAATTGAAAACTATTGTGTATACCAAGACAAAATAGGGAATAAATAAGTATTGAGTATGTGAAAAAGGAAGGCTTAACATTTAAAAGTAGTGATAATACAATATACGATGGAAAAAAAATCAATGTTTGTGAAATCGTACATGAAATTATAACGAAAAAGTTAGCGATATAATATTTTGTAATAAAATCATGGTTAAACTATTTTGTACCACTAAAATCGCCTACCAGTTAGAGTCTTAAATCCGATATCTCTAATCGAACCGGGCGTGGGTTCTGGTGCTTAAACCCAAAACCTTAAGCAGTTGCTTAAACTTCTCCTATTGGCTTATAGGAAATTAGTTAATTAATGGATGTTAGTTGTTAGTAGGTGGTTAAAGGGTAATTAGGGAATTAGAAGATTTTAATTATTTTGAAATCTAACGTGATATATTTAGTTAGGGTTTATATATTTTCTCCGCCCTCGGCTTGTTTCAAGGAAAGATTTTTCCCTCTCCCCTTCAACCTTCCGACTGTGCATCTCCTCTTGCGGCTGCACAATAGTCTCCTCATCAAGATCCAGGCGACACTCGTAGCTACCAAAAATGGACCGTCCACTTTCCTGCCGCCCGACGTTGGAGGTGGAATAGGCTCTACGATCGAGACGGTCGTTTCGTCAGGTCGGCAACCACGAGATCTCACTGCCGGTGTCGAGCTTTAGATGGAGTTCTTGTTGCAGAGTGCCGAAGCCGACGGCGACGATTTAGTTTCCGCACTGAGCGACTGCAGACCGGAACTATACGATGACCTCTCCACGATAAGACGAATCTAAAGCCTAAGAAGCGGTGGCAAACGAGCGCTGATGATGATGTCGCGCCTATAACTGGGAGCGCATGTTCTTGGTTAATTAATAATATTCTTGTGAGAGGTATGAAGTCGGTATAGTGATTATAGATTTTGTTGGTAATGTTCTTATTATCCGTTGAAAAACGGCACGTTCTCGTTAATAGTGATCTTGTTAATAACCCCAAATTATTTAAGAAACTTTAATAAGGGCTAAAATAGTGAGCAACAGAGGTGCTAAGGTATTGCAATGATATAACTATTGTTGTTAACCTTTTAGTCTACATTAGTAACGTAGTTTGTATCATTATTAATAGGTGTATATAAGTGTTATCAATGTCTTACAAGAAAGGTATTAATAACATTTAGTAAGATAATTAATAATTATTAGTTGCTATCATTACCAAATCTTTTGAAAGAGACTAAAATAGCTAGCAAGTAAACGGGGATGGTAAGGTATTGTTAATGATATAACAATTGTTATTAACCTTTTTAGTCTAACTTAGTAACGTAGTTGGTGTAATTATTAATAAGTGTGTATAAGAGTTATTAATATTTGAAAAATAAGATATTAATAATACCTTGGAAGGTAATTAATAGTCATTTTAATTGCATTATCCATGAAACACATGTTAGTTATTAACATTTTTAGTAGTTTTTTATAGCTTGACCGAATATTTTATTAATATATTTTTAACGGTATTTGACATTAAACATTGCATCTGAATAGTATTAATAATTTCTTTTATTTTCAACAAAATTTATTTTCTTATCAGTGAGTTCTTCATTTGTAATTAATGGTTTTGAATATCATTATTAAAACCTTGATGTCATTTTTTGATATTAAAGCCTATCATTTTTAACGTTTTTGTTTTAGATTTGAACGAAAAACAACATTTTGATGAACACTTTGGATGATATTTGATAATTAAAATTAAGTCGGACGTTATTGTATTGTTATTAGAAGTTTAGTGCACATATGTGAATGTTGGTTTGCTTGAGCTAATATTTTTCTTTACTATGTCACAAGTGTTGAAAATGTTGAAAATTAATATTGTATTTTATGATCATTGAGAACGATAATGTAAAGAGCCATCAATTGATCGCAAAATGTTAACAATGTCATTGAAAGTCTTTGGAAGAGGGCCATGATGAGAAAGTTATAAACTTGACGTGAAAATGTGAATAATAAGTAAAGAGGTTGTAAATTAATGATATTGTTATTCAAAATGTTACTGATAATGTTACATAACTTTAACTATTCATTCATAAACGTTGATGACAAAAATGAAAAAAGGGGTAACAATTTTTCCAAAATGGTTAATAATGTAATTGTAATGAATTGATAAGTATATTGAAATCGTTGATTACTCAATGTATAGTAATAAATAATTCATTTCATAAACGTTGATAATGTTATTGCAAAATGTTAATACTATATTGCAACTTACCACGAAGTGTGAGAGAGCGGATATTTTTTAATTTTCAATTTCCATTTTAAAAAGGGACAAATATTATATTCTTGTTTTATTAAATATTAAATAATAATATTTAATTGTATTAATTACGAATTTCCTTTCTAATTATAATTGCAGTGGAGAGAGAGGGTTATGGAGAAGGTCAGGAGAGAGAAAGAGAAACATTAATTGATAATATTAATTATAATAATTATATTCACATAATACCAAATTTATGCTCAACTACCTATTAACTACTAACCTTCCACTAACTACCTAATCCACTATTAACCAATAGGAATAGTTTAAGCATTTGCTTAAGCCTGGATTGGATCCGGTGCTTAAGCCTTACAATGGTTTAGGAATTTCTATGGTAACGGCGGTTCGATCGGGTTGGATCCGGTGCTTAAGCCTATAGGCTTAAGCACCGGATCCAACCCGATCGAACCGCCGTTACCATAGAAATTCCTAGGCTTAAGCACCGGATCCAACCCGATCGAACCGCCGTTACCATAGAAATTCCTAAACCATTGTAAATATAACTGTCCTGTCCACATGTTTCGTGGTTTACTTTGGGCATTGGATTTGGAATACAACATATGCCAAAACCAAGCTTCCTTTCTTTGGGCTACAAAGGGATTGGGTATATACGTAATTGCCTCAAATAATCATGAGTGCGTAGTTCTAGGCCCAATGGGTTCATTGAGGTTTGACGGTCATATGCTCTCCTTAGACCTATCCAAACCGGATGTCTCGTTATGTGAGGATGGGCTTCATGGCTGGCCCCCCTCAAAGTGGCCGCAACCCTCGGGCCATGTATGAACAAAATTGATTGATTGCACAAATGCAGGGAAGACAAAAATATGCGTGAACATAAACAAGCAAAAACACAATGTAGTTATGCTGCTCACAGGCCAAAGTGTGAGTAGATACTCACACGGTGGATTTGTTGTCCACGTGGGCAAGGGTAAGCTAGCTCTTGATTTGGGTAGAGGAAGGTGAGCCGGTTTGGGTCGGTTGGTCGAGCCCATGGCTGACCAAGCCCGCCAGGCCCACAATTCAAAAATCAAACCCCCAATTCCCCTCTCTCCCCCACTTCGACTTCCCCTCTCTGTTGCCTCTCCCCCACTTCGACTTCCTCTCTCTCTCACTTCCCCTCTCTCTCACTTCCCCTCTCCTCTCACGAAACCGACGAAGAACAAATATTTAGCGGCGGCGAGTGACCAGCGGTGCGGCGGCGAGCGAGCGAAGCGGCGGCGAGTGGTGCGGCGAGCTAAGCGGCGGCGAGTTCCTGCGGCGGCGAGCGAACCGGCGGCGACCGAAGCGGGATTTCGGCGGCGACGAAGGGCGGGATTTGGACTAAGGTAACTGTCTTTGTTCATGGATATTCATTTTCTCTTCGACAAATTTGAGTTAGGGTTTCATGGCTACGACTTGATCTGGGTTTTCCTTTTGTGGATTTGTCTTCATGGATATTTATTTTCGTTTGGACATATTTGAGTTAGGGTTTCATGGCTACGATCGGGTTTTCCATTATGAGTTCGTTCTTCTGTGGGTGTTATTTTTGGGTTTTGTGGATTTGCTTTGTGTTCCTTCCGATATTAGTTCTGTTCGGCAAGATATGCATTCTGTTCCTTCTGGATATCCGTTGTTTTTTGCCTGGGTTGTTGTTTAATGTATCTTGATATTGGTTTTGTTTGAGCATGATATCAGTTATGACTTTCTTGGATAGTTGTTTGATAGGATCTGGGTATTTGTATGTGCAGAGATTTATCAATGGTGCACTCTAAATCTCTTATACATGTTATAATCTGTTTTGTGTGCGTTCCGATATTATTTATTTTGATTATGGATATCCATTGTATTTTGCTTGGATTGTTTCTTTGATATATCTGGATATTGGTTTTTACTCAGCATGATATGAGTTCTGACTTGCCTGGATAATTGTTTGATATATCTGGATATTGATTTTTAATCAACATGATATGAGTTCTGACTTGCCTGGATAATTGTTTGATATATCTGGATATTGGTTTTTATCAGCATGATATCATTTGTAACTTGCCTGGATAATTGTTTGATATATCTGAATATTGGTTTTTGATTAGCATGATATCATTTGTGACTGATCAGTTGTGACTTGCCTGGATAATTGTTTGATATATCTGGATATTGGTTTTTGGTCAGCATGATATCAGTTGTGATTTCCCTGGAGAATTGTTTGATATATCTGGATATTGGTTTTTAACCAGCATGATATCAGTTGTGATTTCCCTGGATAATTGTTTGATATATCTGGATATTGGTTTTTAACCAGCATGATATCTGTTGTGAATTGCTTGGATAATTGTTTGATATATCTGGATATTGGTTTTTGGTCAGCATGATATCAGTTGTGATTTCCCTGGATAATTGTTTGATATATCTGGATATTGGTTTTTAACCAGCATGATATCTGTTGTGAATTGCTTGGATAATTGTTTGATGTATCTGGATATTGGTTTTTGGTCAGCATGATATCAGTTGTGATTTCCCTGGATAATTGTTTGATATATCTGGATATTGGTTTTTAACCAGCATGATATCTGTTGTGAATTGCTTGGATAATTGTTTGATATATCTAGATATTTGTACGTGCAGGGATAAAACGAACGTGAAGAGACATCGACGAAATCCACCGCCGTCACCACCGCCACAGCCAGAGGAGGATGAGGAAGAAGAAGATGCTGAAGTCGCAGCGCAAGTACGTGCACAAGGAGTAAAGACCTTTAGATAGGGTTCAGTTTTCAAATACTGATTTTGTATCCGATTGAAGATGTTAGGAGTAAAGACCTTTGCCGCATGTTGTAGGAACGGGCTATCCTCCATCATAATATAAGGAACCGATTGTTTCCCATCGTAGTCTGACTCAGTCTCCTTGCGTTTTTTTTCAGCCAACAAACTACATTTACAAAGCACGAGAAAGAGTTTAGTGCCCAGACTAATATCCACTCAAACCAATATTAATATCTCAACTAAACAAAGTAATATTTAACAATAGCATATAAATATCCGGACAACGCTGACAAATATCCAAAATTTAAGTAGACTAATATCAAAGAAAGGCAAATAAATATTCTGCGTACCTGCTAAAGTGAATGAAAAACAAGTCCAAATCATTTTCAATAAAAGTCGCACTTATGCATTGCACGACTCGCTGACTTGCGTAGTCAACATCCCGACTGCGAATTGATCTCTCAACCATAAGGAACACCATCGATGACGAAAACCTACAAACATCCCTGCACAAGACAACTATTAATGACAATACATAACTGAACGAGTGTAAAAAAAACTTAAGGGAATTAGGAATTGATATTATGCCAACACATGTCAACAAATATCTGTAAAACCCAGACTAGTATCTCATAATGTCATACCAATATTCGTCCTTTTACAAAAACATATCCTATCAGGTCATGTCAATATCGGCCCAAAAAATTGTTTTACACCATCGACGACGAAAACCTACAAACATCCCTGCACAAGACAACTATTAATGACAATGCATAACTGAACGAGTGTAAAAAAAACTTAAGGGAATTAGGAATTGATATTATGCCAACACATGTCAACAAATATCTGTAAAACCCAGAGTAGTATCTCATAATGTCATACCAATATTCGTCCTTTTACAAAAACATATCCTATCAGGTCATGTCAATATCGGCCCAAAAAATTGTTTTACACCATCGACGACGAAAACTTACAAACATCCCTGCACAAGACAACTATTAATGACAATGCATAACTGAACGAGTGTAAAAAAAAACTTAAGGGAATTAGGAATTGATATTATGCCAACACATGTCAACAAATATCTGTAAAACCCAGACTAGTATCTCATAATGTCATACCAATATTCGTCCTTTTACAAAAACATATCCTATCAGGTCATGTCAATATCGGCCCAAAAAATTGTTTTATGAGCCTTCGGCTCATGGGCCCTCGGCGGGCAGCCCTTACTAGGCTGCAAGCCACCAAACCCTAATTGTTCCTTCATATTCAACTTCCCGCCCAAAATTTCGGGCCGCCCCCACCAGACCCAAATTATTCCTTCCTTTTCCAACTTCCCGCCCAAAAATTCGGGCCACCCAAAAAGCTACCCACCTCCCGCCCAAAATTTCGGGCCGCCCAAAACCCGCCCACTTCCTCCGCCCAAATTCTCGACTCACCCAAAAAGTGGCCTTTTTCTCTCTCCTCTTGGCTCATGGGTCAGTGAGTATCTACTCACAAATTGACCTGTGAGCAGTTTAACTTTTTCGGCAAAAACAAGCCATGCCTCCTCCAACCAGCCATGCCTCCTCCGGCGAGGTCTCAGGAACAGTCCCTACTCCGGTGGATCTCCGGCGAGGTCGACGACTCCTCGTTTGGTCTCAAGCAACTCCTCCAGAACAACAACAGCAAAAACAACCCTGAAGTGACGCGCAGGGTGGCGCGACTCCAATTACCCGGAGGAAGTTATTATGACGGGCAGGGCGGAGTAAAAATCCATCCCTATGCACTGAGCGATGCCGCTGGCTTCTCCTCCACGCCGTTCCGAATCTCGTTTCCATGCTTCGGAAAGCTTCGGTGATATTGTCCCATCTTTAATTTTGATTTTGTTGATTTTCTATGTTATTTCACCTAGATTGAGTTCGCTTTCAATTGAGCCTTTAGATCCCAATATTGTTAGTTTTAGTTGGTTCTGTTTCGTTCCTCTGCTCTGTTTTGGTCCTTTGATTTGTTCCTTACTCTTCAGATTTCTTGTTGCTGATCTAACTATTTCTTTTCTGGAAGCATGCTAGGTTTCTGTTCTTGTTGGTTTTTGCTGTGATTGTTGCAGGTTTGGTGACTTCGCGTTCCTCCTCTGTCCCGTTCCCCTAGCTCTGGCGTTTAATTTCAAGTTCTTCTCCTCTGCCTCCCTTGGCCGGTGATGCTTTATCGGAGCCTCCAACACACGGTGGGCGTGCATATTGGCTGAGTCGGTTGCCGCTCACCCTGCCCGTTGCCCGCTGATCTGCCCTCTTGGGATCTTCATTTATCCCTATCCTATCCCGAATGAAAAGTTGCAGCGGTGGGGGTGACTGGTGAGGGCGCGTGGCATCTAACATCCACTAATAGTAAAGGAGTCGTCGACTTCACTTATCCAGTTTTGCTAGTTGGGCTTACCCTATTTGGGCTTCTCATGGGCAACAGTCTGAGCTGGGCTATTATTGCTCGTGGTTTTATTTTAGGAACCTTTTGGGCTTGTGTTCTATTTGTTTGTTGTTTTGCAGGTTGTTTCAGAGGCCTAGAGTTTCCTGCTTGTGGCAACGTGAATCATTGCAATAAGAATATGGTCAGGTTATCTCACACGTGGATTTTCTTTATCTCAGTTATCGGCTGTTTTCTTTTTGCCTTCTATTGGTGCATTTTGTAGGGAATGGTTGTTCTGCTTTTGCTATAGGCAAGGATGATATTTCCTTGGCTTCTTTGGCTTTGGCGTGTGTTGTTTACTCGCTTGTATCCTTTGTTGCATTCTTAGGATACTGACAGAGCTGCCCCTTGAGTGGCTAAAAAGGCTCTTTTATCGGTGGATTGATTAGTTATCGACCGCCGCATTTAATTATTTTATTTTTACATATTTGTAAGCATACTGCATTGTACACCTACCTATGACAGTATACATCTATCTATGACAAAAAAAAAAATATGCGTGAATACCCGCACAAAATCGTTTCGATTGAGTATGATAAAATCGAATTAAATGAATTATTCAGGGCATAATTTTCTCATTATCCAACTTACATATGTCAGATTACATAAATTTGGATAATTTTTCTCTAATAAATTAGAATTCTACATAAATAACATATTTTGATAGGGTGCTAACATCTCTTAGTGTTAACACCATACTAACATTATTTATAAGGGTATTGAATTTCTCTGCCCCTTTCGTTGAGGTTTCACATACAAGTTATAGTTTGGCAACTATGAACTATCTTAATGGATTTAATTTTTAATGCCAAAATTAATTACATATAAGTCATAAAAACCTTATTGCCAAAATTAATTTTCACTGTATGTTCTCATAACTTGTCACTTCACTTCACAATGTTCCTTTTCACTCATTTTTCTCTTCCCACTCAATTTTCTTATGACTTTAAAGCACTTTAAAAGAAGAAAAGAAAAAAGTCTTGAAATCTACCCAAAAATATTAAATTCTTCAAATACCATGTAACTTAACATAACTCCCCAAGAAAATAACTCCCAAGTCAAGTCCCAATAAAATAATCGGCATTCCAAAACAAAAAAACAATGAATTGTCGAACTTTGGAAGTAACATTCAAACTTTGACATGACATGTACATTACAAAGAACATCCCTATAAGCTGCTTTTATTGCCTTTCGCAACCGAATTTGATACACTCATCATTATGACAGTACTTAATAGTACCCCCGGAAAAGGAAAAAACGAAATCAATACACACAAGTTACAAGAAGCAAATGGCTCTCCTCCCCCTCCTCTCCTCGATCTCTCCGGCCACCGGAACAAATCACTTTAACTAATTAAGGACACTTGCGGACGCCGCCGTGGGTGGTCAAACCGGCGTAGCAAGCGCACTTCTCGTAGTTACCGGCGGTCCCGGGAGGAACGCAGCTGCAGCGGACACAGCAGGTCCCGCACGCCCTCTTGCAAAGGTTTGGCCTGCTGGATAACTGACACCTGGCGGTGCAAGCTCCCCCACAATCTGTGAAGAAACCCACAATTAGTCACCGACACTTTTAGCCACGGGTTTATGAAACTAATTCTATCACCGTAATATAGATTGTGATTGGTCATTTATTAACTGGTGTTGATTTAGTGACAAACTCACCGAATTTCGGAGCGTAGGGCGCCGGCGATGGCTGGAGATCGGCATGTGCTAGCTGGATGGCGAGAAATGAGAGGAGGAGGGAGCCGATTATTAGCGACGACCTTGTAGTGGTGGTGACAGCCATGGTTGAACTTGAAGTTTTAGTGAAGGTAGGTGGAAGTTCAAGGGAAGTGATGGTGAGGAGAGAGGTGGTGGAGGGATGGGTATTTATAATAGGGAGAGGTGATTAGACGCGTCTAATTAATGATTAAGGTGGATAGGAGAGTTATGGATGGTATGGTAGGGGAATCAAGTTAGTTTGGAGTCTATGAATATTAATTAAAGCTTCTATAAAAAAAAAAAAAAATGAGAGAGGCAAATGAGACTCAATACTGAAGTGTTTTTGAAATCCATCTAACTACAGGTCAAATAAGATTTGGTTTATTTTGTTTTTTTAAGACAAACTCATATACAAATTTTTCAGTTTGAGTCTGAATTGTTATTGAATATCCAATTCTAATGTAATTTTTGTCTTGATTTTTTGTTTGTTTGTTCACAAACAGAATGGTGGAAATACCAACATAAAAAGTGTAACTCGTTGAAGGTAATTGATGAGATGATCAATGTTGTCTTTTGTGTGTACAATTATCTCGATCCAAATAGACCCATTTTGGTCTGATCCAAATGAGTTCATCCATATTGAACCAGTTCAAATTCCAAACAAAACCATTGAAAGTGCACACGAGTCCATTTGAATATGACTCAATATCCACATGGGTCATGAAAATTAGATCAAATTACCCAACAAGTCTATACATTGACATCCTTTTAAACAATAACACCGAGAACACCCAAATGATATTGTCCCATTGCAACTGCATTATCAATGAAAGAATATAATTTGTCACTACCGAGGTTGTCAAACCAGTTTAAACCGTGACACCAGTTTGGCAAGTGACGTGGTCCGACAATCTCTCTAAAATTTTATCCATATTTAACTAAAATTACTACATTCCAAACAAAAATGA